CGGGTTGGCGTCTACTCCTTTTTGGTGGATGATGAACCCAAGGAACTTGCCAGAACGGACCCCAAGATGCACTTCGATGGATTCAAGCGCAAGTCGAACCACTTGAGGGTCCGGAAGGTCTCGGCCAAATCGATCAGATGTGTGCTTGTCGACCTGCTCTTCACGATCATGTCATCGACGTATACCTCCATGTTCTTGCCGAGCTATTACTTGAACACCTCATTGACCATTCTCTGGTACGTCGCCCCAGCGTTTTTTAGGCCGAAAGGCATCACCTTGTAACAATATACTCCCCTATTGGTAATGAAAGCAGTGTGCTCTTGATCTTGCGGTGCCATCCGGATCTAGTTATAGCCTGAAATGCATCCATGAATGTGAGGAGTTTGTAACCCGTTGTGGCATCTACCAACTGATCTATTCTTGGGAGTGGATATCAATCTTTGGGGCATACTCGGTTAAGATCGGTGTAGTCGACACACATCCTCCAACTTCCATTGTGTTTCTTAACAAGGACTACATTCGACGGCCACCGGGGTATTTCACCTCGGTTATGAACCCAGCTTCTCTAAAGCGGTATATTTCATTACTGATCGCCTTTTGCTGGTCGGGGGTGAACTTTCTCAGCCTCTGTTTCATAGGTCATGCTTCGGGGTGGATGTTGAGGTGGTGCCGGGCTACCTTCGAATTGATTCCGGGAATGTCTTTTGGGGACCATGCGAATATATCCACATTTTTCTTCAAAAAGTCGATGAGCTGGACCTAGTTCCCTTCAGGGAGCGTCGTCCTGACTTTTACGGTCATGTTGGGTCGATCCCTTCTCAAGGGGAATTCGAGGAGCTATTCAGTTTGTCCTAGGTGTGCCGGTACCCTGGCTTCTCCACGGGGATCCGGGTCTTGCTAGAGTCACGGCTTTTTCGGGAGAGCGACCGTTGTTAGATAGCACCATTTCGACTCCTTGGGATTACTTCGGGCCACCCCGACTCCTGTTGACGTCGGAAACTTGATGGCTCCATGGTAGGTGAAGACCACTGCTCTTAACTTGTTGAGGGTCGAGCGGTCAAGGATGACATTGTACGCAAAGGGAAGATCGACTACCATGAAGGTAGTCATTGTCATCTTGGCTCTCGGTTCTTCCCCGATGGTGACAAGTAATATATGCTAGTCATATGTGCCTTGCAAGCCAATAGGGTAGGATCCATTAGGGTTAAGTCAATAGGGGACCTCTATAAATAGGAGGAAACTGGTGATTCATAGGCTAGAGCCTTTTTGGTTGCCTTCTCCTATTCTCCTCCCCTTCTCCATCTCAAAGCAGGCTTGGAGTCTTGGCGAGTGTCATCGCAGCCCTATTGTATGGATCACCGCTAGAGAGGAGAGCGCTTGGCCTCCTTCACCCTATCCTAGAGATGTGTAGGGATTTAGGGATATACGATCTCCCTAGGTAAAACAATCTATCTCACACATGGTTTTTCTATTTCACGGATTTTTACGCACCAATCTTCCCACGATGACGAATATATATTTGGGAATTGGGGATTTTGTTTTTTGTTCTTCCGCTGCGCATGTAATGTCGCCCCCAAGATTTCCCAACAATGGTATCAAAGTCAGGTTGTTTGTGCGAAAATTGGTTTTGAACTGCGTGTGTTATGTTTTGTAGAAGCTTTTGACGTCAAAATCATTAACGCAAATGCGAGAAAGGGCAGCAACTGTTGTTTGTGCGAAAATTGGTTTTGAACTGCATGTGTTATGTTTTATAGAAGCTTTTGACGTCAAAATCATTGATGCAAATGCGAGAAAGGGTTAGTTGCTACCCTTATTGTTCTCAATCTACGTGCGTGGAGCCGCTTACCGCAACAACCGCAGGCAGGCAACACAGCACCGGCGCACACGCAAGCGCTATGCATGAGTACCGAATTCTTCGAGTTAGCAATTCCCCTCACCTCTGTGAGCTTTGCATAAATCTTTCGGTCGTTGAGAAACCCATTCCACCTTGCATGGTCTCATCCTTTACCAAGCGCCTCGCTTGCCTTGAGCACCATCAAGTATAGTTGTCAACATCGAGTCGTAGCTCGAACTTAGCCATCCCAACCTTTGTGCACTATGCATTCTTCCAAGCTTGCTTGTTCTCGTAGTACCTCTTGCGTGAAGGGTTGGTCATTCCTCTGAATGCTAATCTCATATGCCCGCTCCTCCGAGCGACTCCTTTTCCATACATCTCCATGCCTATTTTCCCTCAGACGATCGCGCGTACTGACTACCCTCAACGCAGCCCAACTAGGTCCCCCACGTTTGCATGCCAAGTGTTTCTATGAGTGCTTGTCCCGCTCTGATACCATATGTCACAGATTTAGCTAATTTTACCTAAATTGTGCGGGACCCTTGCATGTCCGTCCGCAAAGGTCAGCCTCCCCGAAACCTCCCATGGTCCCTTAGGACCTACAAAAGAGAAAACGGGTTAGAGAAAGCGCCTCACTCGGGATCCACAAGCAAACATTTTCGAAAACACTTTATAGCCAATGCAAATTACAAACACACTTTACAAGCTCTGAATGGTTGCACAACAAAAGATCAAAATGATCCACTACAGATCGAATATCTTTCACGAGTGTCTACATGATACAACCTTTATTTACAAGCCTAAAAAGGCCACCAAACCCAACTAAAATGGGGCTGTTAAGCCTTCGACCGTCCCTTGACATGCTGTGCAAAGCATGAACAAACCAAAAGACACGAATATACATAAGCATTACATCAAACAACCTATTTAGAATTTTGTCCGTGACAGTTCGGTGGTAGGTGGAGACGATGACTCTTAATTTGTTGAGAGTCGGGTAGTCGAGGATGACATTATATGCTATAGGGAGCCTAGCCACCATGAAGGGAACCATCACGGTCTTGGACCTTGGCTCTTCGTTGATAGTTACTAGTAAGGTGGTGGTGCTGAGGGGAGAGATAGAGTCTCTCGTGAACACGGTGAGGGCCGAGGCCATGGGAGAGAGGTCCTTTTCGGTGAGGCCAAGTTTCTAGAAAGCGTCGAGGTATAGGACATCGGCTGAACTCTCGGTATCTACGCCTTGTGTCTTGACATGCTGTCTCCTCCGAAAGTTGGGCCGCCGATGATGACGTCAATTTACTTCTCAATTGGGCTATGGGGGTGTAGGGAGGATTCCCGTGACTTCTTGATGTAGCACCTGAGATGCCCCCTTTGGATGAGCTCTTCGATTTGGTTCCTTAGGTCGTGACATTCTTCAATGTCATGACCGTAGTCGTGGTGGAACCGATAATACATAGACCGATCCCTAAACTCGTGTAGAGTCTTCATTAGATTGGATGCCTTTAAGATCCCCTTTTCTCTAATATGAAGGAAGATCTCCGTTTTGGTTGGTTTTAAGGGCGGAAGAGGAGGTCTCGAGAGCGACGACTCACGTCGGTCAAGCCGCCTCCTTGGCGGGCCTGAGGGCTACCCTCGGGGTTGCTTCACGCAAGGCCTTTTATGATCCTCCCATTTTCCCACCACTAGTGCCTCAGCAACAATGTACTGATTCGCGCACTAGAGCATCTCAGGAACAGTTGTCGTTGGTTGTTCGACCAATGACCAGAAGAATCTAAACGATCACAAGCCCGTCAGGAACGCTTGCATGATTAGCAAAGGATGGGCATTAGGAACTCCTCGGATCTCTGCAATGAAGCGAGAGACAAAGTGAGAAAGGGGTTTGTTGTCCTTATGGCTTAAGCCAAGGAGCATGGGTGTGGACGGTTTAGGTCGCGCACTGGCTAGGAAGTTATGCCCAAACTCCCTCGCGAGCTGGTTGGAAGTTGACACTAAGGCAGACCTAAGCTAGGTGTACTACATCCGAGCCAGTCCTTGGAGAGTGGTAGGGAATGCTCGACACATTAGGGCATCAGAGGTGCCATATAGGGCCATCTAAGCTTGGAAGGCAGTGACGTGCTCTGCCGGATCGAAGCCACCGTTGTAAGCCTCGAGCGTAGGGAGGCGAAAGTTAAGTGGTATTGGTTTGTCTTAGATCTCCTGTACAAAGGGAGTCCCTGTTGAGGGGGTCTACCCGAGACCCTCCTTCGATTTGTGGAACTCTCTTTGGACTTCATCCAAGCACTGAGTTGACCGAGTGTAACTGAGCCTAAAGAGAGTTTGCTGAGTCGGATGATAAGGTATCAGACTCAAGGCAGCTCGGGGTGGTGCATCGGAGACCAGGAGAGCTATGCTCTAGCATCGACCTAGGGTCCTCCGAGTGCCCCTCAGTCGGCGGGTTAGCACCCGTCGCTCAGGGTTGTTAGCCGACTGGAGAAGGTTCTTAAGGCATGATGACAAGGGTCGAGTAGTCCCATGGTAGCAGCCATCGAGGCAACACTACCTGTTAGGGGAATTAGGGAATAAGAGGGATGATAGTCTGAATAACGGCTCTGTGCTATACGACATCGTTTTGAGCTTTTTGGAGTGACTATGCTATGTGACACCGTCTCGTGCTATGCCAAACAGCGCGAGAGCACACGATCGTCTTGTCTGAGTCCGAGATACCATGCTGACGTAATGTACCACGTCAGCCTCGAACTTCCTTGTTGGTGCTGATATGACTGTGGATTGTTGTCAAGTGAGCAATACCAAAATATATCATATTAAAAACCAGTATTTGTTAGAGATGTTATACTGACATCGACTGAGACGAAGGTAGCCATGGGATTCACGTAACATGCATGATTTGTAGTACCTGAGATGTTATACTGACATCGACTGAATTGCAGAAGGCAGTAGTGATGGCTTCATTTTACGGATAGCAGGAGGTCTTGTCTCGATTGAGAAGTCGGGCTACTAGAGTGTCTCTTCTATGCAACCCTGACAAGCTTGATAAAAAATTAAATCAAAAACAAGGTCAAGTGCAAAAGATTAAAGGCGATGAAAGCAAGTGGTTGTATAGCCAAAAATATTTACCTGACAATGGAAAGTGAAACTGAATATAGAAATCATGCATAGCCACTTTAGAACGTGGAGCAAGAGGTCTAGATGATAATTCTAAGTTAGGCAATCACTGTTCAACAGATGCATTGAATGAGGCCAGCGGTTCCACACAGTCTCTCTGAAATATTTGCTGCATGTAAATCTCACTGACCACGCAACCCATGTTTCAGTAAAGGCACATGATGACAGAAGACTATATTTATTAAGTACTTAAGATGACGACCACAATCTCCAACTATCCTGGTAAAGATTCATCTCCTTCTAGCTCCTTCAAGTAATCCAAAAATACGAGGAAGGCAAACAAGAAAAATCCACCAGAAGAACTTCCACCACCACCACCTCCGCCACCGTCGCCGCCACCACTCCGTGGGGGGAACCCTGTGTTCCCATCGTCAAGTTTTGGCAGCTTCCGTGATTCTGAAATGCAATTTCTAGTGAAGTCTTCAAATATCTTCTACCACAAGTAAACAAACATGTTGACAAATGACAGTATCTTATACAATAAAATCAGCTGATAGAAGCAAGTAGATGATGGCGCTCAGCAAATAAGATGGAGAAACATGGTAGTACATAGTAGCTGTATTAATTATTATCAAAATTACCCTTGGTGGGAGTGCCCGTAATGGTTGCTGATTTACTTCTCACAGTTTGACTTTCGGTTTGAGTTGCGGAACATCTTGCATTCTGAAGCGTAAGTACAATTGGATTAGTAACAAGCGGTCACATGGGGAAATTATCAGAACATTTTGTGAGTAATTTACTACAAAATAGAGGCTGACAGACATATAGAGCTTGTGACATTTTATTGGATGACAACATATACAAGTGATAGGACATCCAACTAATAAGCAACAATAGATGGTCTTCAAAATAAATTAACATTTGGGTGTTTGCTTGGTCTGCAGGAAGTTACAGTATAAAATAATGCAGACATTGATAGACCAGAATTCCTAACCAAATAAAATACACACCAAACTAGCAGCAAATAGCCTTGCAGAAGAGGGAATCTGACGAGCAAACGAGATAGAATGCCATTGACCATATCTGCTAATATGGAGTCTGTTTTCCTCTGCATCAGATGATGAATGTTCAAAAGACATCAACAGTGCATCATTTCAATATTTTGGCAAAGGAAGAAAATAAGACAACATCACACCAACGAAAACGAAAAGACCTACTAAAAAACACATATATTGCTCTAGGCTTCAAAATCGATGTTGGAAAAATATAAAATCAATTAAGAATTTAAATTTATTACTGAATCTCAACTCAACTGAAGATATTAACCTGCTATTGGAAAATTATGTTATTGTCTCATCACATTAAGAGGACCCATTCAGCAAAAGCTGATAAGCATAACCATCCAAGCTGTAGTCCTTTCATGTCCCCTGAACAATTTTCACATCTGTGGTCCAAGATTATTCAATTCACAGAATTGATTGTTAACATGATTAGTTTTCTGTAGTCCAGTCATCATATACCACTTAATGACACCAATCTACTTTATTTTCCATGACAACTGGAAAGCCAGTTTAGCTATATCTTATAGATTAGATAACCTGATAGTTAACAATTAACTAACTTCATCTACCACAATGATAAAGAAGGTAAGAAACTAAACTGCATTGTAGATGAAAAACCTCAAACTTCATATCGAATATTAATACAAATATTAGGGTGTCAGACATCTTCATACAATAACACATTAATAAAAGCCTTGTAACTCAGCTTTTATGATTTACAATTTTGTTGACGAACTACTATATCCTAAACCTTTCTAGAGCTCCCGACACGTATTATACCATGGTGATGTGTTCTTGCTCCAGTTGATCATTTTAAAATCAACAAAGAAATGAACAACATTTTCTTTTATCAGTTGCCCTACTGGAGAATTGTACATTGAGAGTGTTTATTAACAATTGGAGTTTTACTCTTAAGTTAGCCCTTTGTAGTTCCGCCAAAAATAAAATAAAATGTCAAGAGCAACTAGGTAACTTTTTTTGCTTGTGAAAATTTAAAATTTGACCTTACTAAAGAACCTTATTAAGAATATTAGATATTCGGCTAAGATCTATCTGTCAAGGTGCAGGTTTTTTCTTTGCTAATTATTTGCTAAAACAAGTGAGACCACATTTTTAGAAAATTGAGAATCAATCCTTGATTGTTAAAACAATGTGGAACATGAGCATGGAGGCAAACTAGGTGCAAAAGCAGAAAAGCAGGTCTCAGCAAAACCTGAGGATGCTGAACATGTCTTATTACACTTAATAGTGTGCAATTTTGAACAAAAAAGAGTTGTCGGAGAATGCATTAGAAATATGTTTAGAAACAGAAGCAAGAGCTAAAAGGGCAGCTCAATGCACAAGGCTCCCACCAATGCAGGTCTGATGCAGCATTTTAGATACAAGATATTTGCAACTAAGACTAATCCATTTCATATGCCTGCAGTGCAGTGAAGCAAAAATCATTTTGACTGGTTAAGAGTAGCACCACTGTTTGATAATTCTGGCCCAGCAGAGAGTTTGATGACAGAGCTATATACTTAACAACTATTGAGGATAACAACCCAATATAGGTTTCAGCCCCACTATCAAAAGAATATTAGATGTGTGACCAAATGGCAAAAACAAAACAAACATGACTCCCAACTCAACAAGTGGCTTAGTTGCAAAAAGTTTGTTAAATACCACCTAGTCTAAATCTGCACATGAAGTTTTAGATTGCTAATGCAAACAAATCTAAACATGATTAAGGCACCAAACTTGCTTCATCCTGACATCAAAAGAACATGAGATTCATTTCTTGCCTATGAGGAGGAAAGAGGTACTTCTTAGAAAAATCAAATATGAATTGATGAAGACCAATTAATCATCACAATATTTTAGTCAGCAACAGAGGTGCTATTTGGCTTTGAAACTAAAGTGGAGAGCTACATAAAGAGTACATCAATTAAAGTGGAGAGCTACATAAAGAGTACAGCAACCCCAAGTTGTTGGATATAAGAAAATAATGACTAACCCAGATAAAATTACATAGTTTAGATTGCTTAAGAACTAATTCTCAGTATTGTTTACTAGTAGTGTAAAATTCATGCCAATACACACTCAAACCTACTCTTGAAGCCTAATTGCATTGAAACACCAAGTAATCCTAAACAAGGTTCGTAATTTCGTACTGTACCGGGGTATCAAACTCAACTCGGTATAGTACGATACAAGTATATCGAGCGGTACATTTTAGCATACCGCTCGGTGTATATATGTATATACATATATATAATAAAAAAGTTAAAAAAAATAAAAAAAAAGGGGCGATATCATCGAGGCGACGTCGCCTCGTTTCTTCTGCCCATGTTATCACGCACTTAGCTGGTTTTGCCTAAGTCGTGAGGCACCCTTGCGTGTCCGTCCGTAAAAATCAGTCTTCCCGAAACCTCCTATAGTCCCTTAGGACCTACAAAAGAGAAAACGAGTTAGAGAAAACGTCTCACTCGAGATCTACAAGCAATCATTTCAGCAAACACTTCATAGCCAATGCAAATTACAAATAGACTTCACAAGCTCTGAACGATCGCATAACAAAGGGTCCAAAATGGTCCACTACAGACTGAAATCCACACAAGTGCCCACATGACACAACCTTTGTTTGTAAACCAAGGACAGCCACCAAAACCAAAGAAAATGGGGTTGCTAAGCCTACTGTTGGCCCTTTACATGTTGTGCAAAGCATGAACAAAACCGAAAGACACGAACATACATGAGCATTACATCAAACACCCTGTTTACAGTTTTGTCCATGACATTCTCCCCCATTAGTCCTTCGACGTCCTCGTCGAAGCCTTTACAAACGCTGCATCTCCTTGCCTTTACTGAGTCTTCAATCTTCTGCTCTAGTTGCAATGTGCCTTTCGGCTCCCAGTTGGACTCCGTCGTTGTTGTTGAGTAGTCGAACTTTGATCCGCCATGCTACTTCAACTCGCCAATGACTCTGACTTTGGTGTGGGGTTGACTGAGATGTGTTGATCTCTATTATTTCCTACGGATCCCTCAAATGAAGGAAAAGACCATCCTTAGTATACACTAGTCTCTCAAATGCTTCGTGCCGCTTGAACTAGGTAGGATGCTTGTTGGAGCTTTAACGAGCATCGCCTCGCGGACTTTAAAGTTTTTGGGTCATTCCTTGGTAAAATTTGTCTATCGATTCTTCTTCCACTTAGTCGTCACTTCCAAGTAGGTTCACATCACTTCCGCTTTCATTTGGCATTCTGTTGGGAAATGAAGCAGATAATCTACTCTCAATAGCATTGATCACAATTGGTGAGGAATTGACAACTATCGTCTTATATTCGGTTTCTTCGAAGGGTCTTTGAACCTGTGCAGAGCTCCTCCGCTGGATAGATAAGAATTGAGGTACTAAGTTTCACCCATTCTCTTAAGAGTTGAAAAGGCAAAGGTTACTTGACTTCGCCTACCCATGGCCCTACAATCTGTCACCTCGCATCTGCGTCCCTTTCTTCGCAATCGGTAGATATATCTCTATGACACTCCTCCGAGTCCACCTACATTCTAACCGATACTTGATTTTTTTGGGTAGCTAAGTCCCTCTGGACTCGTTGTCGCTTCCTCACCCCTTTTGACCCCTTGCTTCAACACCTCTCGATGGAAAGACAGACTGCAACTCCCATGCATGACCTCCGCCATCATATTGCAGGGTTCACACCGATTTTGTTCTCCTTAGCTTCCTTAGTAGCAACGTTCGCTTACTCGGCCTTATCCTCTGACTTGTCGGGCTTCCTTGAGCGAATATGAGCTCTGGAACAGTCCAACTCTTGAGCCGCTCTGATCATACCTCTACATGATCAAGTCTCTCCCATGAGACTCACTAGTACTTGCATTTGGTATACTCTCTCGATGGTACATAGCCCCTAAATGCTAATGACGAAGGCTTTTATCTGATGCAAAATTCGATACACGCACGAAAGACTCACCTCTACGATACCATGACATTCACTCCTTGAATCCATAGCCTTTCTTGCTATTGTGTTGTTCACCGAAGTGGAGCTCTCAGTAGTCCCTCACAGGACGAGTTTCATGTGTATTGCATTGCCACGAACTATTCCACCACGATCCGCTGCACCATGTAGCCTCCTAGTGGCATCTCCATTGCATTCTGATCATTATGGGATGAACTCGGATTGCGATCCCTCCATGTGTGGCCTTTGCAAACTCAACGTAGGGCCTCTTCCACCTTCGATTGTGTTCGCTCCACTGGCAATCGACATTCGTTCACCCGCTCTCGGGTCACACTTAAACGAAATATAGCTCTAGGATAGTCCATTGCATAGTAGCTCCCGAAGTCCACCGACTTCGCTAAATTAGTGCACCATTGTTTGGATCCTAAGCCTTTGCCCCCATCAGCACAATCTCCGCTTCACACCGCTTCCCTCATGGCAACTTGAATGACAGCACTGTGATATATTCTTCAAGAGTACCCGCCTCCGCGTCCTCTTGCCCTGTGCCAAAGCCTTCTGACCCAACTTCGCCTCCGCAAGTTAAGTCGCCTTAGTTCCTTCGTCAAATGCTTTTCCGAGATAAAGTGCATGTGCCTCAAAGCTCCCTTCGTCTTTGGCACTATGCAGAATGAGGGACCCATTGAACGACATGATCCAGCTCTTGCCTTTGTAAGAGTTCACGTCTTAAACCTCTCTCCAAGGAAAGCTTCGTGCCTCCGCTCCATGTTCCATCTTCTATACCAACTCCCTTCATGCAGCTTGGGTCCTTCACCAAGTGACACCCAAGTTGCTCTGCTCCTCAATTTGCATTGAGTTGATGGTGGCCCTCGCGCCCACCATTCCACAAGTCAGCCCTTCGTTAAGTCTGATCTCCATATCGGCTCCAAGTGTGCCTTCATTTGTGTTGCCTTAGGTCGTTCCCCCACTTGATCTCGTAATGCATCCCCCAATGCATTATCTCAAGCGAGATCAGGCAACGACTCCTCGCCGCTCGCTCGGTCCATTAAGCTTTGTGGAGTTGTTGTTTTGAGATACTACTCAACATGTGCGGTTCGTTGAACATGATTCTCCCTTTGGAGAACCGAGACTTATCCCTCGCGGATGAGAAGTCGTTTCTTCTGCTTGGTTTCTTCTCCCCACGCGGATGAGAAGTTGTCAACCACGCTGAGGCCTTGTCGCCTCATACGAGGAGGCGACATCTTATCTGCGACGTCCGACGAGGGAGGGTGCCGACGGATCAGGATCGTCGAGGGAGAGCGACGACGGATCTCCAAGTTCTCCCTCAGCTAATACCGCCCGGTACCAGGCAGCGACGGTCGAAATCGATCGTCACTGACCGATTTCGTGTGGTAACAGGTCGGAAACAACACTAACCAGGTGGTATCATTCGAAATTAAAATCCTTGATCCTAAATACATCGAAGCAATTAAAACCCAATAACTTTGACAACTTAAGAACTTACAGCTGCATTATATTACTGCACAACTTATCCTAAACTATCAAGATTAAACATTAAAATGGCCATCTGACAGTTCATATTAAACTATCATCAAATCATATAATGAAAAGCTCATAACTAATTCATTATCATTTATTACTAATCTACTGAGCGACTCATCTCTGTTTCATGATGCACACTGTGCAGCACTGTGTGCATATGGTTCACACTGACCTCAAGCATGTAATTGGCTCAGGTCTTGTTGTTGGACTAATTGCTCACCAACCACTCCTAAGTGACTGGGTGCAACAGCTCACCATGTGAGGCTTCCTAGCATTTGCTTTATTGAGTATACAATCTTCTAGCAGCGATGTGTTTACCTAGCAGTCTCTGAGATCGAGAAAATGCAGGCAGACATACAGCCGGTGCTGGTATGGTAAAACTTGATTGTGTTATCATGTCTTCCAAGTACAAACCTGCAAATTTTCAATTGCATAATATTATTCCCACTTTGTAAAAGTGTAATTAATGGAAAAATATCAGATTGAAAGAAGAATATAACATGATGATCTTCAAAAACATGTTCATCCTAACCATCATTAATATTGAGCATGATTCTGATTTTTGAACAGTCATTTGTAAGTAACAAGAAACAAGACCAGAAATGTAGCCCAGCTATACATGTTGAGGTCTTACTTCCCATTAGTTAGGCAAAACATACTGCTATAAAAGAACAAGACCGACATAACTTTTGAAAATGTATTAGAAAAGGCCCTTCGGGGAAAAAACTGATTCTCATTACACATAATTTGTAACCATAGAACACTCCAAAATTTGTGCCATCATTTCCAATCAGATGTCCTGAATTGAGAAAGAACAGCAAGAGAAGGACCTAGAACAAAGAATTTGCTAAATAGTATGTAACCCAAACAAGTACATGAGAGGAACAAGATTCTGCATCAAGTTGCATACCAAGTATAATTGCCATGTCATGGACATGTCGGGGCCAACATGATTAAAATAAATGTGTGTTCTTGAAGAGTTATAAGCAATTCGCTTAACCAGCCAAAATATTGTCACTGATGTATAATATAAATTGAAATGGATAAACTTGCAAGATCTAAAGAAGAGAAATAATTATGTTAGTTTGCTGTTGGGAATTAAAACCCAACTTTAAATAATGCATGGTTAAGACTCAACATGTGCATTATGCAGACTCATGAAACTTGTCATAATAGCAACTTTTGAACAGCTATGTCAGCAAACTAATAAAACCTACATCACTGGTAACAACCTCAACAACCACATAAACATTCTGGTACCAGAATAAAGCCTAAAGAGAACAAAAAAATCAAATGCATACAGTTATTAAAGCACTTCCAAGCTGCTATAAATTTTCTTTTCCGATTTGAGAGTTGGTCTATACATTGTTCTAACAATTACTGATATCTGGCAAAACTTTGTTCAGAAGTCTCAGCTACTTAAGCTTCAGATCAATAATGTCTAGAGCCAATCAAGATACACAAGTCCAACAAATGTTAGTCTCATTAATCCAACCATATTAAGCTTTCCAAATGGAACAATTTTCAGCCTTAAAAACTTTGTACAGAGTCCTCATTTGTCAAATTCAATAACCTAATGGAACTTTTTTTTAAAAAAAACCTTGTACAGAGTCCTCATTTATCAGCCTTAAAAGTGAAATATGCAAATACTAAACTATTTCATCTTGCCTGCTATTGAGAGGTGTCAGCAAGACATTTTGGGGTCATCTTCGGGTTGGGTTGAAATACATTTAAAACCATCTGACAATTAAATTGAAACAGAATGCAATCTGTATAACCGCTTTAATATACAGTTCAGGTAAAAATATATAAAGAATGACAGCTAACATGCTTTCAAGAAGACATGTCTTGCTTATCCGATATAAACTCAACACAAAAAATCCCATGAAATTCCCTAAATTTGAAACTCAAACATTTTATAATTAGGCTAATTGTCTCAAACCATAGGCAAAAATTTTCACCAGATAGAATCAGAGAGCTTCTTGATGACCATAAGCATTAAAGCTCCTGAAAATATTTTTTTCTCGTATCCTTGAATCATCTTGTCTGCTTTGACCTCGCACGATTAAATTTCCACAAGAATGACGCAAAATGTAATTTTTCATATGAAATCCACAAACAGAATAGGGCTACCTTCATCAACGAATTAGGCAATTCCATACATTAGAAGCTATAAAATCAGGTGTCTACGAGATGAGTCACTAAAATCGACACATCATGCTGCAAGAAACATAAACAAGACGTTGCTCATTACAGGTTTGCCAATCCACAGCAACCGCTTTAGGGGCTAAGAAGCATTTCATATTTTCCATTACCGTATGACGTTGAGTGCGAATCTCTAATCTCAATATCATCATGTACGGTTCCCTCTAATGTTCTTAACATCCTTCCGAGACAGTCTTAAGGATATAAATTCAGGAACTAATTCACCCACCAACATGAAACTGATGATTCATCCCGAGACCTTCGCGGAAAGATCAAACGAAGGACAGGGGAAGGGTTCGATCGATCCGTCTCAAAACCACAAGAGACTACCATATAGCAGCAAAGATTACTAGAAAAGGAATCCATACCGAGAACCGGCGCGTTGGATGAAGATGGAACTCGAAGAACAGACGGTTACAAACGAGAACAGCGATCAACCGTCAGAGAAAGAGTCTCCTACTCTCCTCCGCGTCCGACTTGGGGAGTCGGAGAGTGACAAGAAACGGAGGGCAAAGGCGAAGCGAGCGGGGAATCCGTCGAACCTTATAAGCGGAGGCACCGCCATTTCGTCGCGTCGATTCGCGTGTGTTGCTGTTGCTACGGACAAGTCTTTCTTGCACCGCAAGATATGCCTTTCCCGAGGATTGACGTATGTGATGGAGGTATTTATGGCACTTCAAATTATTTCCATCTCAGGATCGAGCTGAGCATACTATTTATTGTCCCCTTGATTCCGATGTTTTTTTTTATATTTTAACCGGAGGCGGAGGACGAGATTAAAAAAGAAGAAGATATTTATGTTACTTTTAATAGTTTTTAAATATTAAAAATAATATTATTAGGATTGTAAATAGTAATCTTTCTCCAAAATCATAAAGACCCTCATCGTTGCAAATGAACAAAAAATGGTCTCACCATTGTCGCCTTGTACCAGTGAGTGAGTGACAGCAATGACTGATATCAAACGAATACAAAATATTTTTGATGGGGCGTCGAGTAACGAGCAAAGAAAAACTAACAATCGAGCGATGAGCGATAAGTAACGAGAAAGCGACAAAGCCACGAGGGAGCAACATTGAGGGGCTGTGGGAAACAAAAAGACAAAAAAAGAAAAAAAAAAAGGGATTCTAAATAGTAAAATTATATTTTATTATTTTTAAGGGATTATCGATAGCAACAACATTTGATGAATTGAATAGTAACTATAAGTTGGTCTTTTTACATATTTATCCTTACACATTTCAAAAAATAACTTGTTTTATCTTTAAAAGTTTTATTTCAATATATAAATATTAAAAAAAAGTTTTTTATAGGTCAAATAGCATGGACGATACAAGACGATTTTTATTTTTTGGTTCGTAAAAAATTATGTTGCGAAATAAAGATCATTGATATAAATATCTTTCCAAGACATATTTGTTAGGATCAAGAGCACTAAGAGGGGGGGGGGGGTTAATTAGTGCAGTGGAAAACTTTCGAAGATTAAAACTGCGTTCGTACGTTGAAAGTCGATTCTGACGTAAAAGTCGTTTCGTGTAGATAATAACTTTGAAAACTTATGGAAATGTATTTGAAGTAAAGTAAGGCAAGAAGTTTGTAGTTAAGATAGAAATCGGAGCGCAAACTGAAATATGAT